GGGGAGAGGAATGGGGAGTGACTGCTTGATGAGTACATATGGGCTGCTTCTTGGGGTGATGAGAATGTTCTGGAAATGGTGGTGATGGTTGTGCAACACTGTGAATGTACTAAACGCCACTGAACTATACACTGAAAATGGTTAAAATGACGACTTTCCTGTTATGTGAATTTTACTTTGATAAAGAGCCTACGGGGCCCCAGCCAGCGTGGCTCAGCGGTTAAGCATCGACCTATGATCCAGGAGATTGCGATTCAATTCTGGGTCAGGGCACATGCCCAGGTTGCGGGCTCGATCCCCAGCAGGGGCGTGCAGGAGGCAGCCGATCAACGACTCTCATCATTGATGTTTCTATCTGTCTCTCTCCCTCTCCCTTCCTCTCTCTGAAATCAATAAATATATTAAAAAAAAAAAAAGCAGGAAATGCAGTTCAAACTTATTAAGAGGCTAAGGGAAGTGGACTTCATCTATTTCGATAAAGTGATATTTTGGGTGGTGCCTGAAGGTTAAGGACGTATTTGCTAAGTGAAGAGGGAGAAAACATCTGTTTGAAGATCCTGAAGTAGGACAGAGAGGTGCCTGGGAGACAAGTGAGTGGACGGTTCTGGAAGCTCAGAGAGAAACCCGGGCTGGAGGGATTTGTGGGTAGTTGGTACACAGGCAGTTCGGAGATGCCCCAGAGTGTGTAGAGAGAGCTAAGAATGGCACCTCGACCTCAGCACCACGAAAGCAGGTCCTTCGGAACCAGATAAAGAGACAGGGAAACCGGAAAGGGGAGGAAACCCAAAGTATGCACTGTCAGAGACACCAAGGGTAGAGAGCCCTTCAGGGAAGTTAGAGGTCAGCAGTTTTATGAGGCTGAAAGGTCTTGTGAAGCAAGAAAACTCGAGGGTCCCCTGGGTTTTGTGGAGATTGAGGCCTGGGACCATGGCAGTCTCTTGGAGGAGTGGGGGGGCAGAAGCCAGTTTGGAGCAGGTGGAGGGATGGGTGAGAGGCAAGGAAAAGCAGCCCATGAGCCCGGCAAGTCCTTGGAGAAGCTTGGCTGCTGAGAGAAGAGCCAGAGGCAAGAGCTAGAGGAAGAGAATGTGGGGGGAAGAAAGGGTTTGGGGGGGCATGAAGGCAGCCAGTAGAGGGATCTTGGGGAGGCAGGAAGAGAGACCAACCCAGTATGAGGCCTCCCAGGAGGAGAAGCTGAGGGCAGCTTGGCTTAGAGATCTACAGACAGGACGATTCTGTAGGTACCATCTGATGTCTCGTCGTCTTTCTGATGGACTTTCAAGAGATGGGGGCTTAGAGGCCAGGAGAGTGGGAAAGTTTGGGCTGCAGTCATCAAGGGGAGCAAGCTAACGAGAACCTCGGGCAGCCAGGCACAGTGGGGGCCTGTTGAGGTCAGTGGCCAAGAATATAGCATATACCAACCTGCCATGAAGCACCACGCATCTCTGGCAGCTCTCAGCAGCCAGGGGCCGGCATAGAGAAGCCGGGAAGGCACAGTGAAAGGAAGATGGATCTAACAGGTTTGACATGTTGGCAGGAGAATGGGGGGAATGAGGGCTCCAAACTAGACACGGAGGCGGTGAAGGCGGGAAGGTACTGATGGACAGAAAGGTGAGGGCCAGGAGCTAACAGAGCAGGTGTCATGGAGTAAAAGAGTGAGAGACGGATAGAAGAGGCAGTGGGAGCAGAGAGGGGGCGACTGAGGGTGATTTGGGAGGTGGCACATTTTGGATTCTGACAAGGTCTGGGATGTGGACATGGGAGTAGGGGGAAGAAGGAAAATGGAGAAGGTGAAGCGGCTGAGTGATTGGGGCACTGAATAGGTGGTTCGCCCAGACTTTCAGACACCCATGATTTCAACAGGGCCCAGGGCTGAGGGGAGGCTGGGCGCCGGAGCCATTTTCAGTGACCAAGGGCAGTAAACAAGAGGCCATGGATGGCTGCAGGGAGGCGGGGTGCAAGGAGGTGCAGCGGAGGGCTTGAGGCTCCGTGGAAGTAGGGGATCATCAAGGAGGACTGCCCAGGAAGCCAGTGTGGGCAAAGGAAGACACTGCCAACCCCACTGGGTCTCCCAAGGCTTCCCCCCGGGCTGCAGGGAGGGGGTCCTTGGGACAGAGCTGGGCTCAGATATAAGGAGACAGCAACTACTCAGAATGGTCAGGGAGTTTAGTAAGTGAGGACAAGGTTACAGAGGGGACTGCATGTGGACATCAGGAGGAAGGAGTCAGGGGAAAGTTCAGAGCATTTTGCAGGAGAGAAAACAAAGAGTATAAAACACCAGTGGGGCTTTTATCTTGGGTGGTGGCAGAGGAAAGAGAAATAAATGTCAACCAGAACCTGGCATATCAGCTTCCTGATCCAAGTCTTCCCCTCCCAACTTGGCAAGACGGGACCTTCCCCTGCCTGTAACTTTCACTGGCTCCCCCCTGCCCAGTCAAGTAAAGGCCATCTCCTCACACCAGCATTCAAGGCCTCCACCATCCAGTCCTAACCTACTGTCCTAGCCTTAATTCTCACAATTCCCATCAAATTACCTTCACTGCTCCCTGCTGAACATCCAAGCCCTCAATTAGAATGGTCCCCTTTAGAATACTCCCCCAGTGAACTTCCACTAGTCTTTCCCCCTCTGCCAAAACCTCCTGGAACCCTTCCCTAATTCTCCCAGGCAGGTCTCTGTACTTGTGTTCAGGCACTGTATTTTACCATACTGAATACCAGGCTCTCCTCACCCCCCCCAAAATAAATGACACTGGGACTGGGTCCCCAGGGTATTGCCAGCAGAACCAGCCCAAAGTCTCATCTCCTAACAGAATGGCCCACTACTAGAGCATCTGCCTCTCTGTGGAGGCCTCCCAAGCTCCCACCTGTGAGCAGCATGAGCCAGGGCAGCAGGAGGAGGGCAGCGGTGTGGAGGGGTGTGTGGGCTTGCAGCAGAGCTGCCAGGGCAGGGCCCAGCAGCACAGAGACGTGGAGCAGGATGCCCGCACCATGAAGCAACAGGCACAGGAAGGGCCGGTAGTTGTGAAAGCCTACGCAGCGGCCCAGCAGGCGGCAGTGGTGGTCCCGACGCAGGATGCAGATGCGGCAGGCAGAGCAATGCCCGCTGCGTGGCGGCACCTGGCTCTGGCACTGGTAGCAGTAACTGCAAGAAAGGAACCACAGTGTCAGTTCTCCCAGTAGCTCTGAGTTCCCCGTCTCATGCCTGTGAGCCCATCCTGGGGACGCAGAGGGTGCCCTCAATAAGCCTCAGGTTCTTCATAGGTAAATGTAGGCTGAACACCACTTCCCAGGCCCTCCCAGTTCTAGCACTGCAGGTCTGAGGTCACTTCCAGCTCTGACATCCTTAGTCCTCAGGCCTTTCTCTGGCCTCTAACATCCAGGAGCAAACTTCTGACTTCCTCCACAGTCACCACTTGGCCCAAGTCACCATGAACTCTCACCTGGATTATTGCAATGACCTCTTAACTGACCTTCCTGGCTCTACCTTTGTGCCCTCCTAGTCTCACCCCAGCAGCTAGACTGATCCTTAAACATCTAAGTCATGTCCCTCCTCTGCTCAAAACCCTCCAATGGTGCCCTGGCCAGTATGGCTACTAAGTTGGTTGGAGCATAGTCTCAAGCACCAAAGGGTCACAGGTTCGATTTCCGGTCAGGGAACATACCCAGGTTGTGGGTTTGATCCCCAGTTGGGGTGCATACAGGAGACAACCAATTGATGTTTCTCTCTCATATCAATGTTTTTCTCTCTCTCCCTCTCCTATCCTCTCTAAAATCATTTAAAAAAAAATCCTCAGGTGAGGATTTAAAAAACAAACCTTAAACACAACAACAACAACCCTCCAGTGGCTCTCCATCTCATTTCTAGTAAAAAGCAAAGCCTTCAATGTTCTACTAGGGCTTTACATGTCTAATCTCTCTCCTCCCCTTCTCTCACTCCAGGTTGGCCACACTGGCCGCCTTGCTGTTCCCAGAACGTGCACACAACTGCCTCATAGCCTTTATGTAGTCTGTTCTCTCTGCCTGGAACACTCTTTCCCAATTCCTACATGGCTAACTACCCCACCTTCTTCAAGTCTTTGCTTAAATCCCACCTCAATGAGGCCTACCTTGACAACTCTATTTAAAACTGCAACTTGCACCCCTTCTACCCTGCTCTACTTTTTGTTTCCATACCACCAACACCTTCTAACATTCTATATAATTTGCTTACTTACTATGCCTATAGTTTACCTTGCACATAGTAGGTGCTCAGTAAATATTTGTAAGTGAACAAATGATACCCCTTCTATCTCTCCCATCCAGGTTCTAAATGAGTTCTCTAACAGGCTCTAACAAGCGGATCCTACAGAATCTGGTTCTAACATCTTCGGGTCCTAGGGCCCCACCCCCTGTCCAAGGCTCCCGCTACACCGCCGGATCCCGCGCCCCACTCACGCCCAGCCCTGGCCCAGGCTGCGGCCGGCTAGCATCACGCCTCGGATGCTGGGATCCGAACGCAGGAAGAGCCCCACGTTGCCCAGCAGGTTAAGCAGCTGGAAGGCGGCCAGCGCCAGCTGGAAGGCCCGGGCCAGGGGTCCCAGCGGAGGCGGCCCGGGACCCAGCACAAGCACGTAGGCCAGCTCCAGACCTACCGCCGAGGCCCACAGCGCGGTGAGCACGAGGGGAAGCCGCGCGGGCGACCCCTCCGCGCTCCCCACCGCCCAGGGAGGCCCCATGGCCCGGACCCACCGGCAGTCGGATCCGAGTACCCCGCCGCTTCCGTATTGGGGCGGGGATAGCGTCAGACGGAAGTCCACAGCGACCAATGGAAGCCCTGAGGGGTGTGCCGTGAGAGTTTAGGGTCTCGTGGAGTCGCCCGCAGATGCCGAGCTGTGATTGGACGGCCGGATGAGCGGAGAGGGAGCTTGGAATCCTGCTGGCGCTAGAACTCCGTTAGGCTGCGACACTGTAGCACCGCCCACCCTCGGAGGCCCCGCCC